AAAAAAAAAAAAAAAAAAAAAAAAAAAAAAAATCTACAAGAGCTGCAGGGCCAAAATGAATCTCAACCTGAAAAGATAAACATTTCTGATGGAGGCACCGGCCCTAAAGGGCTTTAGGACCCCGTCGGGGTGTTTGCTCTTTCAGGAAAATCTGTCCCTGACTGTGAGCTGCCACTTGGAACCTTTGGCCATGACCCACAGACGCTACAATTGGACACTCTAGGGCAGGTGGGGGAGGCTGGTAAACTGTACACACTGAGGCTTTATCTGTGACCTAAATTAAAACATATCGTGATTGTGAGCCCTGCCAATCAGCAGCGCGACCAGCCCCGGGGATTCAATTAAAATGCTAAATTAATTCAATTGAATAACTCCTCTTAATGACACATTCTTCTGAAAGGAAATTAGAGGAAATTTAAGAGGTTCTATCTTTTTTTTTTTGACTGACTGGTGGTGAATACATTGTTCACAGCTCTGAAAAAAAAAAAAAACAGAGAGGACATTTGCATACAAGAGACAGGGTAGGGGGCCGGGCTCACCTGCCACCAGCTCCAGCTTCTCCCCGGGGTCCCCCTCTGAGTAGAGCTTGGGGTGGCAGCGGTACCCAATCTGGCTGATGAGGCTGGCAGGCAAGGCCACGAGGTCACGGCGGATGAGGACGCAGGAGCGGCTCTCCAGTGGCACCGGCTCTGGCTTCTCTTGCACTGTGGGCACAGAACCAACCAGTGAGGTGGGCATCCCTGGTCAGGCTGGACTGGTCTGTGCCCACCCCTCAAAGCTCCCCAGGACTGGGGTGAGACCCATCCCACACCCACCTGGGGCCTGGGCCAGGCCACTCCAGCCCGCCTTCATCCTGGTGCCATGCCCACTCTGCCCACCTGCCCACTTGGTCCTGCCCTCATAGGGTAGCCCAAGTGAAGGGATGAGCAGAAGATGGCAGCGAGGGGTGCCCACCTGGGGAGCAAGCTGCTAAGGGCCAGCTCCCAGGAGGTTTCCACTTGCAGAAGCCTGCAGCCAGGTGGGAATGAGGGCTCGGGGCTGAGAGAGGGACAATGGGAAGGGTAGTGTGTGCAAGGGGCAGGATGGAGGGCAGCCTGGCTGGGGCATCACGGCCGGAGCCAAGGCTGGAGCCCAGCAGGTCCTGCACCACTTAACCAAGTGCAGTGTCCACCTCTGCTGTGAGGGAAGCTGCCAGATGGAGTGGGGCTGGGAGTTGGAACGGGGTCCCCGGTACTGCTGCCCCCAGACTCTCTCCATAGCAGCTCCATGCAGGAGGCAGCTGGGCATACCAGCTCCGATTCATAGGTGAGGCACACGGGGGACCCGGCACCTGCAAGGACACAGCACTGACACCACGTCAGCAGGGCAGGAGAAGCAGCTCCATCAACACTTGTCAACAGTAAAGCCAGCAGATGCAGCATTGCTGCGGGGCAGATCCAGCAATCCTAGCTGTCTGGGAGTGCTCCAGACAAATCACTGCTGGGGACGAGCAACACTCAGGGCCCCCTGAGCCTGCTCAGAACCTGCAGCTCTGCAAGTGTGTGCCCCACAGCACTGCCTGGAGACACAGGGCCACAGATGTCCCCATCCACAGAGACATGAGAGCAGGACACTGGCCTGAGAATTTCACAGCCGCCTGCCAGGCCCTGCCCCAGGTCCCCCACAGGCCTCCTGTCCAGCCTGGTCTGGCCAGGTCCTCTAGCAGGACTCTCTGCAGTCAGGGTCGGGGATCCCCTCTAGTGCTGACAGAGGGCCAGGACCAAGCCCCCTCACCTAATGACCAGGCGCTGGGAGGCCAAGGAGGAACCTGGCCCCACTCCCCAATCCAGCCCAGTGCTGCCCGACACCCCTACTCCCCTATCCCCTCCTCGTTTCCCCCCTCCCCTACCACCTCCAGACCCAGAAAGCCTCACGGGCCCCACCCTCATGCAGGGCTCATCCAAGCAGCCCCCACCCCCACGCCACCATGGCCAGTTGTCCAGAGCTCCCTACCCTGCAGCCTGGCAACTCCTGCCATTTCCAGAGGGCCGGGGCACCACCTCCCTCTGTCCCTGTGTCCCCAGCACACAAGGTGAGGTCCTGAGAGGGCCACCTGCTCCTGGTCAGCTGTTACTAAGAAATCACACCTGCTCTGGGATGGGCTCCCGTACACACATGGCTGAGCAGCAGGGCCTGCAGGTGAGGGCCCTGCAGCCTGGACCCTGGCCCCCCGGATCACACACTCCGTGGTCTGCAGCCTGGAAAATATTCTTGGGCCACTCAGGTTTGGCCAAGGGTTGCTGTTCTCTTAGCAGCCTTAGTGGGGTCAGAAGCCCCTCAGCACGGGAGGAGCCTGGAAGGAGGGTGGCAGGGAAGGGTCCTGGGCAGGAATCAACCCCATGCTATCTTTGCACCCAGCTCCTGTGAGGTAGGGGGCAGGGTCATCCAGCCCCAGAGGGCCAATGCCCAGGTTAATGAGGTGACCCCATACATCCCTAAAACTATGGGGTCACCATGGGAGAAAGCAGATGCGTTCCAGTCCTGAGGACTGGGAGGGGGTGGGGCGGGGGATGCCAAGACCCACCTGCAGGTCTAGCCCTACCCCCAGTAACTGGAGTCGCCCTGATCCTCTATCCACAGGCACCCGCAAGCCCCCTCCTCCCTGTCCCTCATGGCTTCAGGCCCTTCCCAGAGTGGCACCCGCCACTCACTCAGGCTGAGCATTGAGCACGCTGCGCCCGTCAGTATGGCTGTGCCCGAATTCCGGGGAGGAGGAGGGAGGTTCCTGAAGTGAACAGGCACCAAGCGCAGGCTGCGGCAGGATGAGGACAGAAGCCAGAGGTGGCCGGCCGCAGAGGCAGGTGTGGGTCCCGCTGGCCGCTGCAGGGGTCGAGTGGCATCTCCCATTGGGCAACAACCAGGATTCTTTAAAGCCCGGAATTACTCAGGGACTCAAGGAACACAGCAAAAACAATCTGGATGATATTTTAAAACATAATTACCCGTCCCCCACCCCCGGCACAGCCTGCTGTGATTACACATGCAAACGGGCGCGTCAATGCTGGTGCGCAGCATCCACACAGTGTTCACCCACAGAAATCATTCCCCATCCACGCTACCTCGTCTCGAGGTGTTGCTCTAAACAGCAGAAGTCGTTTGTGCTCCGCACACCCGCCCCGCCCCAGCCCCAGCCCGGCTCCCCAAGAGCCAGAGACTGTCAGCGCAGAACAGCCGAAAAAACCTCTTCTATTTCTGCCTTGCCGTGTGCTGGATACTGCTGCTGGCTAAAAATACCCGACATGAGTTGTGGCTCATCTGCAAAGGTGCTCCCAATCTCTCCATGCACCGCCCCTTCCCCAGGCCCCCAAATTACCCACTCCATGGGCTGCAATCACCGCCTGGAGCTGAGCTGCAAGGGCTGAGTTACAACTGGGATTTAAAGGAAAACCCAGTAGAGAGACTTGTCCACAGAGGAACCAGGACAGCTGGCCTCTGGTGGTTCTCGAATGGCTGCTCCAAGGACAGGTAATCTGGGGCCAGCGCTCAGTTCCAAGAGGAAAACCCAGTAGAGAGACTTGTCCACAGAGGAACCAGGACAGCTGGCCTCTGGTGGTTCTTGAATGGCTGCTCCAAGGACAGGTAATCTGGGGCCAGCGCTCAGTTCCAAGGGGCGGGGAGGCCCCTTGGTGGGCTGTGAGCAGGGGAGAGACACCAGCAGATCATGCCCAGCCCCCTCTCAAGCCTAAGTCTCAGGTACCAGGTGGCCCTGTCACTTCCTGTCAACCCAGGACTGGCTGCTGTGGCAGAGATACCATCTTCGCCATCAACAGCCCTACTGATGGAACTTTGGCTTCCAGGATTGTGCATTCCAAACATTTTGGCACAGTGAAATTTGAAGAGAAGCACATGAAAGAGCAATCAGCTGTGTGCATGGAGAGGTGAGTGATCGCTCTCGATGCAGGAAAGGTGAGTCGTGGTCACAAAAGTTCGTGATGGGATGATTCAGAAGAGCGGCTGATCCAGGCAAATGGGGCACCGGCGATCAAGAACTGGTGGCAGTCTCCCTTGATCCCACTGGTGGAAGCAAACACTAGGACAATCGCATCCTGGGACGTGTGGGTGGACCGTCCAGGGCTCAAGACTTGGGGACCAAGAAGGAGGCCCTGCTGTTCCCAGCCTGGGTGACACCAACAGAGAAGGAATTGAGCCTCGAGGACATCATGCAAAGTGAAGTGCTCCAGACGCAGCAGGACAAATCCTGCAGTCCAGTGACGTGAGGTCCCCAGGGGAGTCAGATCCACAGAGGCAGGAAGTGGGGTGGTGGGTGCCAGGGCTGGGGTGGGGGGGATGGGGGGTTGGTTTAACAGGGACAGAGTCTCTGTTGGCAAAGATGAAAGACTTCCGGATGGATGTGGTGATGTCCGCACAACAGTGTGAAAGTGCTGCACGCCGCCGAGCTGTGCAGAGTGACTGCGGTCGTCAGTCTTACGTACACCTTAGCACAATAAACATTTTTTAAAGAGAAAAAAAAGGATGAATGGAAGGAGGAGTGGGTGTTGCAAGGTTTGGGGTAACTGGGAGGGTCCTGCTGGCCTGGGCCCTACCTTGCTCAACCTCCCTGGGTCACTGGC